CTTGTCCCCCGAACTGCCTGAAGCCTGATTTCTGCCGGTCCCCTCCGCTCGGGCCCAAGAGTGCTGCGAGCGAGCGCGAGCGCGGACCAGCGGGAGGCCGCGCGGGCAGGAGGGCCGCCGTCCTGTTTCTTGCAGCTGGGCTGAGCGATGGATGGCGGGGTCAGGGTGCCGGGCAGCAGGAGCGCCTTCTGAGGGCTTAGAGCCCCAGACCCGCTCCCTCCGGACCCCTGGGCACCCAGTTACCCAAAGGAAGCCCCAGGAGCAAACGAGCCGAGGAGTGGAGCCCGGGTGCTGTGGGCCTGTCCCCGCTCCCCAAGCCCCCAACCCGCAGCCCCAAGACCACCTCCCACGCCTGCTGGCGTCGAGCTCCACGTATAACGGGCTGTGCTGAGCCTCTGGCAGAGCGGGCAACCCCACGCGGGACGGCTGTTTGCTTGGAGAAAGAAAACGAAAAGGCTTTTCAGGCTCAAGTCCTCTCACTTCAACCCTGAAACGGTGGGGGCTGAATGAGGGTATGAGGAACCACCCGCCGCACAGGCTTCCCCTTTCCCATCCTCCCACCAAGCTTGGCCCGGACGCTGTGTCCTAGATCATAACCGTGGTCTAACATACTCCGCAGGAAGCCTTTTATAATTTAGAGTGATTTAAAGTAGTGGCTTACCTAAAAAACAACCACCTCACAAAATCCCAGAAATTAAAAAACAAAACGAAACAACAACAACAGACAGTGGCTTACCTGTTCTGGGTGCAGCAGGAAAGAAGCCAGAACTGCGTCCCTTCCCCACACCTCGAAGGCCCTTGGAGTGCGGGCCCTAAGGCCTGGAGTGGGGACTGTCTGCAAACCCCAGTGGTGGTTTAATACCTGGGCTACAAGAGGAACCTGAAGAGTGCTGGTGGAGGGGGCTGTGCCTCTCCCATTTTTTCACCATTGTCTCTTAGCAACTATTTTGGCCTCCTTGGTTTCCCTGAGCTCCTGACTACACCTGTTCAGGCTAAGACCAGTTTTTTCCCCCTGGATATGCCAGATGAGTACATGTGGTATCCACACACACTCCCCAAAACACATCATGGCTTAAAAATTTCTGCTTGTAAAAGGCATAAAAGGTTTTCATGAAACTATTTAAATTATTTCACATAATCTCCAGTAGCCAAAACCCTTGTTAGAGCAGATGACCCAAGTCAGTATGTTGTTTCCCAGCCACCGGAAGGAAAGCTAGATAAGGGCCAGGACCAACGACCCCTCACTCCAAGAACAGCAAGAGGCTCAGAAATGGCCCTTTTCCCTTTTCCCCTACTCCTGGGAAACTCAAGTGTGGTAACTCCCCCTGGGTTTGCAGCAAGGAGGCCCCAAGAGCATCAGCCCCTCACTGGGACCAGAGGGTCGCTCCCCGGTTGGACCAGCATGTTGCACGTGTATGCATCTTCCACGACCAATTCTCAAAGGGTCTGAGGTCTCAAAAACGCTAAGAGCCATGCTGTGGCTTGTGGGAAGATGCTGCAAAGTCCCACTTGGCCTAATCCTGGGCTTCTAATCAAAGTGTGTCCTGGCAGAAGGAGCATGGTCCCAGGCAGGCAGGACCGGACAGGGTTGGATTCAGGGCCCTCCACATTCCAGGACTGAATCGGGGGTAGGGTGGTTCTGAGGGCCAGCTGGGCTGGGGATGAGCTGCTGCCTCTGGGTAACTGGGAAGAAGTGCTCCAGGCCAGTGACTGGCCAAGTTGGAAGCTGCAGTCCCATGCTTTGTGGTCAGATCCCCTATGGGACCACCACCCATTGATGGCTCTGTCTCCCTATGGTCTTCCAACCTGCCTTCTCACTTCCACTGCAGAAGGGTATCCCCCACACCCTCAAACAGCTTCCTTTGTTTCTGGTGTCCTTCCACAAGTGGAATTCCAAATCCACAACCATCCTGAGGCCTTGACCCTGGCTGCTTCCTCCTCCACTGGAAGCCTCCTCAACCTTCTCCCTGGGACACATCTCCTCCACTGACCTTGACAGGGGTTCTTTTCTCCCTGCCCAGACCAAAACACCTCATTGCTGTGTGCCCCAGGGTAATAAACTGTAGAACTTCATCTTTATTTTATACATGATGCTTCTTTTAATGCAGCCAAAAATGATATTTGCTTTTCTTGGAACCATAACCCATACAGGATGCAGTGACCAAGTCATTCCTTTATAACACCTGGGCTCCTAAAGGGGCCAGAAGATACAATTTAGGTCCAGCCCATCAGGGAGCCAAAGGCGGCATGGGCCCTCGGCCAAGCTCTGGTAGGCCTGCCATGAGGCAGGGCCTGGCCGTGCAGCCAGAGGCTGGCGGAGGTGCGGGGAGGGGGTGGACAGAGGCGGTTGGTCTCTCAGTCCTTTGAACCCGAGACCAAGGGCCGCTCATCAAGCTCATCAGGCAGTGGTGGTCCACCTGTGCGCCTGGCTGATTCTGACGGCTTCCAGGGCAGAGGACACGTGCAGGTGGTCGTGACAATCATCACCTTTGCACTTGCCCTTAGCCAGGGACACCCTGGGTCTGAGGCCTCTTCCAGTGCCTGGGAAGGCCCCTGGAGCATGCCAGTCCTCTGTCTACCCCTTCTAGGTGACAAGAAGAAGAAGTGGTGTAATACTGTTTAAAATACACTTTCTCATTTACAAGCACAGCAGAGGAGAGATGTGGACACCCCTTCTCCAGCTTGTGAGCGAGGGGCCGAGACACATGAGCACTAACCACGTGGCAGGGATGAGGGGTGGGCGTGGCTCCTGCACAAGGCACCCCAGGTCACACCCTGCTGCCTGGGGAGGCGCTGGCCTTCCCCCAGAGCCCCTCCACTGTCCGTTGGGGTTTGCCTGTTGGGCCTGCTCCTGCCTGCCCGTATCCCTCCACCAGGCTGGGGGCCAGGGGTCATTGCCGATTTCGGCTGCCCAGCTTCCTGCGGTCCTTATTCTGGCTGCGCTGAGGGTCCTCCATCTTGTGGACACGGAAACATTCTTTGAGGTTCTGGGACCGAATCTTGGGATTCAAGATCTCCTCAGTCATGTTGCTGGGGAACCAGCCTCTCTCCTGGTCATGCAGACGCTCGCCAAAGATCCACCCTGCGTAGGGAGGGACAGGGAGGGTCAAAAGCTCTTGGAGTGGCGTGGGCTGCACCTCCCTCCAGTCTGTGTGGGGAGCAGAAGCCAGAGAAACGCAGGAGTCCAGCTGGCTTTTCCAGAGGTCCCCTGCTCTGCAAACCTGTCCTGAAGATGCTCAGACTGGGTTTGTCCCCCATAAGCTAGGGAGGTGCTGCCTCACCCCAGGAGCATGGTGCACATGCTCAGAGCCACGACAGAAACAGCTGTGTTCTGCGCCACGGGGTGTCCCATATGTATTGAGTTTGGAACTCATTCCCAAGCCCTCAACAATCCTGGGCTGCCCCACATGAGGCTGGGAGATCCCAAGGGCCACCCTCAAAAGTATGAGGGGCTGGTGGGGTGGTAGCTGACCACTGGTTATCTGGCCTGGAACCCACCAAAACTGCCACCACCCTCTTATTGGGCAGCCCCTCCCTGAGGCTCAGCCTCCTGAGAGCTGGGTGGTCAGCCGAGGGTGGCTGTCATGAGCTGGCCAAGTGCCCTGGCTCTTTACCCTCTCCTCCCAGAATGAAGCTGTCTCTGCCTGGGACCTGGGGCCCAAATTGTAGGACCTGCTGGCAGGTCCTGGGGCAGGGCTAAGACCTGGGGGGGCATGCCTTCTGTGGGCCACGTGGGAGGGGTGTCAGGCTGTTTATATTCTTCGGGGGGAGGGCAGGAAACACTGCTCGTCCAGTGCTGGGTGAGCCCCTGGGGTTTGGGAACGGCAGAAGTGGCCTTCCCTGGAAGTCACCAGCCTGAGACCTCCCAGCCAGGACCTTGAAAAAGAGGAGGAACTAGGGGAGGGGAGAAGCTTTATGCACTGTGAGGGATTTAGATTAGGAATGACTGATGCAGAAATAAGGGATCCATTTTTTCAGGGGAGAGGAGTGAACCTCTGGCACTGATGCCAACAGCAGGAGTGGCTGGAGCCCCGGTAGGTGGCTTTTTGGCCCACATGGAGCTCCAAGCCTGGTGGTCACAGGCTCAACTGGAAGTCTGTTGCAAATACAGGGTCAGGGTTAGGGGGTTCCAGGCCATCATCCTTCCCACAATGGTGGGTAGGCTGAGGACAGGGCTGGAGCAGGGGAAGGGGACATGGAGCCAGGTGCTCAGCTGGGCCTAATGCTGAGTGGGGAAGGCTCACAGCTCCTGAAAAGGAGAGCAGAGGCCCTGGGAGAAATGCCTTCTCTAGTCTGAGGACAGGCCAGGGGAAGCCAGGATGCGCAGAACAGTCTAAGGGAGCAGAGACGGAGCAGGGCTCTGCCATCCCATCAGCCAGCTCTGACACCTGCTTCTCCATGTGGGCGGAAGTGCCCCACCTCATCCCTCAGGCTGCTGCAGTGTCCCGGCAGGTGGGGGCAGGGAGCCAGTGGAAGAGGTACCCAGCCCACCCTGGGCTCACCATCCTCTGTCTTGTCCAGGATGTTCAGGATGTCGGCCAGCTCCAGCGTCAGCTCGTCCGGCTGCTGGGCCACGTACGGGTGCACACACTGGACCTGGGGGCAGTCTGAAGCGCGGAGAGAGGGAGGTAGCACATCCTCATCACCATGGCACCCACCCTGGTTCATACACAGGCAAAATCTGGACCCCCAACCTCCCCTCAACCCGGCAGTTAGCAGGGACACGCTGCCTGTCTAAAAGACAATGCAAACTCCCGCAGCAACTGCAAAGGGGCTCATTTGAGGGAGAGGCAGGTGTGGCTCCAAAGAAACTGTGCTTAAAACAGTCAGGAGCTCTGTAAGAACAAGACGTGCAGACAGGGACGAGCAGGCTGGGAGGGGCTCTTATTAAAACTTCAGAAGGAGCTGTCGGTCCTGGGCTTGGCCCCGGGAGCAGTCCTGGGGAGGTCAGGACGTGGCGAGAGCAGTCAGGATGGCAGCTGCTCTGTCGAGCAGCTGGACTTGACCCCTTTTATACTTTGTAAGGTTTTCAGACAACTGGCAGCCCCAGAGTCACTGGTGTTTGCCTTCTGGGCCCAAATCCTCTTGGTTTCCTTGTGGTACCTGTCACTTAAGACCCAGGGACTTTTATTTCTTCATTAACCATCAAAACATTTGCAAAGCTCAGGCACCCCACTGTCGCCCATAGGGCTACCAAGCTTGCACCAGGGTGCTGAGGAGTCTTGGGCAGTTGAAGCAGGCTTCCCGTGCTGCCCAGGCCCCCGAGCTGGAGCGCACAGGGCCCCCGAGGCTGATGCAGCCACCTCGAGACCTCCCTGACTCTCACCTGCCCTGCCTGGCGGGCGCCCCCTTCCCAGGGGTCCACTTACCCAGCAGCCGTGATGTGAAGGAAACAAACTTGGTTCTTCGGTTGGGGGCCAGTGAGGTCATCCAACGCTTCATCTCGCTCCTGGGACAGGGAAGATGACAAATGCCCTAACCACAGAGCAAGGGTCCCCACATGTGGGGCCCTGTGGTGCCTGGGGTCCAGCAAGCCAGCCACTTGGCCCTGGGCCTCACAGCAGGACAGCGTGGAGGGTACCCAGAATCTAGAGGTGGAACACAGGTGGAGCCCTATAGAACCTCCCTGGTGCATCCTGAAAGCCAGTGGCTGAGGGTGAGCCCTCCACGACACCCCAAAGTTAACCCAGAGAAGAGCCCTTGGCAGCCTGCTGCCCTGAGCTGCAGTCGTGAAATCAGAACAGGCCCCAGGGTGTGCGGGACGACCCCTGTGAGCTCTGGGGTGGAGGGGGCCAGGCACCGCACAGGGCGTCCCGGACCCGGGGCTTATGGAGTGTCTCCTCATGTCGATCTCGGCTGTCCCTCTCAGAGCCTGGGGCTGCGGGGCGGGTGGCCTGGCTGTCCAGAGGTGACATGGTGGGCTTAAAGCCACACAGCAAGGGTGGTTCACTGGTCGGCCTGGCCCAAGGGCTCTACCACAGCTCATTGGAAGAGGGGCCACCCAGAGTCTGAGGCCCAGAGGGAACGTAAAGACACACATTCACACTTATACACACACTCAGCAAGGCGCTAACGGCTCACTCCCTGACAATGCCAGGCAGAAACCCTTCCCTCAGGGCCCTGGGGAGGAAGGACAGGAACTGGGCGGGCTGTGTGCTGAGCCTGGAGCCCCGCTCCACCTGGGCAGGTAACTGGGAGGCGCTGAGGACATCACGGGCAGGGCCCGCAGCACTGGGCACTCACTGAGAGGACGCCTTCAGCATGTAGGTGGCCTCCCGGTCATCCGCGTTCTCAAGCAGCCGCAGAATGAAGACGTTGGCCAGCGTCTGGCCCTGGTCCTCCAGCTCCTCCACTCGCAGCAGGCCCCGTGGGGCTGAGTCAAACACCTGGTACTTGTCTCTGGGCACCAAGGGAGGCAGGATGGGCGTGTCAGTCCCAGCGAGGCTTGGACTCCCACCGGACCCCAACCCTGGCCAGTGGGACTGGCCCTACTGCTGCCACTTCTCACCTCCTTCCAGAAGCCCCCACCTGAACCCCTATCCCCCCTCCCAACCCTCCCCCCCCAGTGTGGACGGCAGACAGAGGGTCAGCCCCGACAACGCCACAGTGGCTGCTCTGCTGAGCACACCTTATGTGTCAGGCATTGAGCTAAGCGCCCCCATCCTTAGGAGCACAGCTCCCGCTTGACAGGTGGGGAAACTGAAGCTTAGGAGGTTTCAGTAAACTTGCCCAAAGGCCCCAGGCTGGACAAGAACAGAGGGGACCTTTAAACCCGACCCAAAGCCTGAGCTGCATCCTGCCACCTTGTCCGCCACACCAGGCCATGGGGACCCCCGTCCCCTACCCGCCACTCACCCGGGAATCTGCCGGCAGATCACCAGCAGGTCGTTGAAGAGGAAGAGGTAAATTTCCCGGAAGAGTTTCTTGGTCCGCAGGGTTCGGGACGTCTTGGGGCCCGACATCTGCTGTAGCTCACCCTGCTTCAGCAGCCAGCGTGAGTGGGAGATGATGGGCACCGACTGGTGGGGCAGGGGGGATGGCGTCAGAACGGCTGTGCCCCTCCAGCCCCCCCGAGGATCCCCCAGGCCCTGACTGGGTAACCGCGAGTCACGGTGTGTGAGGGCTGCGCGGGGCCCACGACTCCTGGGGCGCTGGTGCAAGGAATGGGCGGAGCTGGGCCAGTGAGAAGGGCAGGGGTGTGCGTGTTTGTGCCGGCGTGTGCAGGCGTGCGCTTATTTGTCTGTTGTGTATCCATGTGTCCTGTATGGGTCTGTACTCACCTGTCAGTAAGTGTGTACACGTGGGTGCTTCTGTGTGTGCGTGTGATCCCCCCACCAGGCTCAGCCTGTGTGATGCAGAATCAGAGGGGCCAAGGTCACAGGGGAGAGGCGAGAACTGAGTTGCACAGGGCAGGGAGGCCAGGCCTGCAGGTCCCTACTCGGTGGCTCCAGGGTAGGTACCTGGCACCCAGCACTCAGCCCGCAGATGGAGCTATGTGGGGGGCCTGAACCCCTGCATCCTCAGCTGGGGCTGAGCTCCCAAACCCAGTGTGACCTTGGGCCCCTTAGGATCACTAATGTCTAAAGCTTTATGCTAAGTTGGGGGAGAAGGTTGGTAACTTCTCTCAGATTTTCAAATCACCCAGATTTAAGGATCCTGGGAACAGCCTATGTCATGTTTTTGTGTGAACTGACTGTACACGGTTGCAAATCCAGGAAATGAGAGCAGGCAGCTCCCAGGTCCCTGCACCGTCCTGTAGAAGACAGTCTTGGCCAATGTGACTGCCTGGCGACTGGGGGCAGGCAGGGACCTTCAGACTGGGGGCTGGGGAAGGCCTCGGTGGAGGTGACACTGTGCTGAGACCCGAGGGTGGCTATTCCGAGGGCTGGCCAGTGACTGATGCTCCAGGCCAGCCAAGCTGGGTGGGGGCCACGTGGATGGGCGCAGGCTCACCTTGATCTTAAACTCCATCTTCTTCTGAATGCTGATCATCTGCTCTGTGCGGCTCATCTTCCTGACGCCCTCATTGCATGCTTTTACCACCTGGGACAGAAAGGAGGACACATCAGGCCATCTGCAGCCAGCTGCCTCAGGCCACTTCCTGTGGCCCGCGGCTGAGGCTGGCCAGCTCCTTGGGCTGGAGCGCCTTTCTCCAGCACCTTCTGGAATAAAGGCAAGAGGGAAAACCTCAGGGAAAACCTCATCAGGCTGTCAGTTACGACTCTCAGTTCCCTCGGAGAAAGTTAGCACCTTGTCTTCGCTGGAACGTAAACTCCAGAGAGCGCACAGAGCGATGCCGACCCCTCACATCACCCAAGAAGGAAAATTTCCACAGTCAGAAGTCCTTTCTCATCGGTCAGACTGAAAAACGGCCGGGGTCTGGGCATTGGGCCCTGTTACACAGTGTGAAGAAAGCAAGAGATGAGCCCACCTTCCCAGGCAGCCCAGGTACCACAAGGCCCAATGAAACCACATTTTCTGGGACTTCTGGGGATTCCTTCTGAAGAAACGATCTCGACACAGGATCACGGGTGTCTAGCGCAGGGCCAGGCACCCAGCAGGCACTCAGCATCTAGGAGCGAGGACAGTGCCCTAGGATGTGTGTACCAGGACGCTCCCTGCAGTGTTGTTCAGAACAAGAAAAACTGTCATTAACCTTGGTGTCCCTCAACTGGAAGTGACTAATGGTCACCCATCTACATAACCCTGTACTCTGAGATCATGAAAAAGTGCAGTGATCCCACATGCACTAAATGGAAAGCAAAGCCAGCTTACAAACCACGAGCCCTGTCAGCAAAAAATACAATTGTGTGGGCAGGCGTCTGTTTGGAAGGGGGTCTGGCAGGGCAGGAGCCAGCACGTCGGCAGTGCAGTAACTGGTGATCTTTACCATCTTCTTTCTGCATACGAACACCTTGTGAATTTTTCTGTATTCAGCATCACTTTTAATTAGGGGGGATAGCCCACCTGTCTTAAAAGAAAGTAAATAATGAGAAACAAGAGTGTATCTTTCCTTACAAGGAAAGGAAAGGGAGATGAAAGCATAAAAGAACTTGAAAATAGGAAACACTCAGATGCCCTGAGACCCCTTGGAGCCAGTGTGGCCGGCTGCCCAGTGGGGCCGAAATGAAGGTCCCATCGGATCAGGTATGTCGGCTCCAGGGGTGGGCAGGGGGCCCTGCAAGATGCAGCCTGGCTGGACCCTCCCTGACCAGCCTGCTTGAGGCTCCAGCCTTCCCCCGACGAGGCTGGGAGGGGACTGCCGTTTTCCCCAGTAGTCAAAGGGTATAATTGCCAGACGGGTTTTGGTGGCCACCTGGCCCGAGCGAGGGACATAAGGACAGGCCCAGGGGGAAGTGACTGCATTGAGTTATGAAGTCCTTGTGGCTTGACATGGCTTAGAACCACCACCAGATGCCCACTGAAGCTAGTTCTTTTACTAAAGCTGCTGCCACCGGTACATTAAGTGGAAAGGACTTCCCAGCACCAGGCTCTTGTCCATCGCGGGGTCACCAGCACAACAGAGTGGCCCCCACATGGCTGCCAAGAGCAGGCTGGTGGCTCCAGTGACACCTGGAGCCAAACCCTGAGAGCACTTTAAGACCAGAAGGATCCTCATTAGCTGAGCATGTAATAACAGACACATTCATCGCCTCCTCCCGTACAACCCCTGCTCTGCCCGCAACTTCCAGGAGGAAGCTCTTCTCCCCGAGGCTCAGAAGCGGAGATGGTCTTGGACAGGAAAAGCCCAGGGCTTGGTGGGGCCGCTCGCAGGGATGAGGAACATGCAGCTCGAGGACCGGGGAGATGTGTTGGGGGAGGGCAGGGCTACGTCGCGGCAAAAGAAGAGCCAGAACTGGCTGCAGAGGGTGTCAGAGAAGGGAACAGCGGTGGCTTGTGACACTGGAAACAGGTGAGGACAAGTGTGGGGCCTCCAAGGTCCCCAGACGCCTGCAGTGAGGCAGCTGATGGGAGAGCCCGGGGCCTGTGGGTGGCAGCAGAGTCTGGGTTGGTAGGAGGGGTCCACCGACATGTCCAAGGGTGAAGAGCGCCCAGCTGCGGCCTGGGCCACCCCGCACATCACCGCCCCGGGAGAGGAGGAAGACAGGGCTGCCCTGCCCAGGCCCCACCTGACTTATTTTTTGGACCCAATGACTTCTCTGGATTGCCAAGGCTAACATTAAAATGAACTTGCATTTTCCAAAGACACTGACACAGGAGGGAGCAGGATGGGAAGGCGGCCTAGAGGAGGCGGCCAGCTTACCGGGAAACGGGGAAAGAGGAAGCACGACTCACCAGTTCCAGCTCCTTGTGCGCGTCCAAGGCAGTGCATTCCCGCTCAGACCTCTCTTCCACCCTCTTCAGGATGTTCTGAGCACCGGGGAAGTCTGCATTTAGTGTCATCATGTGTGGCCATTCCTCCCCCTCTGCCCCCTTCGCAGTGGTACCCCCCCACTCCTGCTGCACTGGTCCAAAAAACAGCCTCATGTTGCTGCAACGTCCTCGTACAAAGAGCCCCCCGGGTCGGGCAGAGGCCAGGAGAATGGAGCATTGGACCAAGCCTCTCCCTGCTCTAAGATGATACCCACCAGTCAAAGTATCCCACGGGGGCCAAGCCAGAGCCCCAGTCTCCTTACAACGAAGACCAAAGCAAAGGGAGGGCAGGGTCCAGAAGTGAGGGAAGGGACGTGTCCAGGGCCTGTCTGTCCCCAAGGCTCAGTGTCTGCAGTGGCACCAGGGGCTTCCCTACCCTTTCCTCTGGGACTGTCATTTGAAGCCAAGTTGCAGTGACCCCAAGGCTTTCTTAACACTGGTCTTATTGATAAAAATGTCTTTTTTCCAATGGTTGAACTTTTTTGAATTTCTCCCATAAATGACAATTTCTGCATTGTTTTCCACACTTTTTATGGCTTCTGCCTCCCAGTCCTCACTGCGCCCGTCTCTGACCTGCTCTCATCCCATAACGAGCACAGTCTAAGCACAGTCCACCTCGCCGCCGCCAGCTGCCCCACCAGCCACCCAGTACTGCAGAGGGCCACGCCCACCACCTAGACACCAGGGTGCTGGGCATTCCTTTTCACTCTCTCCTGAGCTTCAGACCAGACCCAGATCCCTCCTGCTTCTGGACGTCCCTGAGCTGTAGCCCCCAGCCTCCTCTGTGTGGTCACCTGCTCTGACTCGAGCCAGAGAAAGAGTCAGCTCCGACCCCTCCTTACCCCACACCAACGTGGGGTCACCAACCCCCAACTCCCAAACCTACCTCCCAGTGAACATTGTGGTTCAACTTCCACCTTTTCTCATTGGAATGAAACCGCCTGCTCAGGTCCTACTCGTGGCCTCCAGCAGAGGGTGGTGCACACGTCCCCCCACGCTGGCTTCCTCTCGGATCAGCCTCCCTCCTCTCTTATGCAGTGACTGGCAGTTCTACCTGGAACGCCCCCCCTTCACCCCCAAGCACGCTTCCTCTGAAACAAGCCCCCTGCCCCTATTCCACTGTTTTTCTCCTGACATTAAGATGTCCTTTAAAAAAGTCTTGATCTTAGTTTTGTTGGTTTTCATCATTCAAAAGTTCCGATTTTTGTATGTCACTATATGCTCTTTTCCTATAAAATTTCTTAAAAATATTTTTCTGCATAATTAGGAAATGTTACTGTTTTCTGTTTCATTGTTTCCAGGCTGAAAAAAATTCATGTGTGCCTCCTTCATTCACCGCATCCTATGACTTGGCCACGTCCTCGTTCAATTTTTCTGCTAAGTTACTGTCCCCACCCCAGGGCGCTGCTTCCTCTGACTTGGGTCTCAGGCCTCTGAGCTCCTCCCTCTCCAGGATCCAACCTCTCCTCTTTGATACTGCCCTTCTCCCGTGGAGCTCGCTGCCTGTGGCCTCCTGCCTGTCTGACCTCTGACCTCCCCAACTGTGGCTCATAGGTCACCACCTTAGCTCACCCTGCTCTGAGCCATGGGCAGACCACACCACCCACTTCATCTGCCTGGTGGGCCAGGGCTCCCCTCTGTGCACTGACATGCAGCAGGCATTAAGGGGTCTCCAGCCCGTCTTGCTTGGTGCCTGATTCTTAGAGACCCCCTTTCAGGAACCTAACCCTACCCGGGCTTTGCAGCATTCCTCTGTGGGCATGATGTTCCAGGATGGGTGTCAGGACCCCATCTCTCCATCCTTGGTGGTTTCTTCTCTTAAATGCTACCTTGGTGCCGAGAGCTCCCACCGTGACTTCCTCCTTTGACTCTAAACTTGGAGATTCAACTGCTCGGAGTCCTCCCAAACTCAGCTGGTCCAACAGCGAACCCCATCTTCCCCACCTCGGAAAACAGCACTGTAACCCAAGCAGCTCAAACCAAAAGATTCTTCTCCTTCCCTCTCACTGCACAGCAGCAAGTGCACAGCTCAGTTCGCTGATTTCCCTCCAGGATTGCCCCACCCCAGCCCCGGCCAAGCCACCTTTCTCTCTCGAAGCACTTCCTAACCCCTTCTCCCATTTCTACTCCTGCCCTCCTGCCCAGCACTCTCCACGTGGCAGCTGCTTTGAGGTCTTACAAATGTCAGCTAGATGGGGTGACTCCCCATCACACTGAGGCCAGAATCCAATGTCTTACCTGGCCCCTTAGGCCCCTGATCGGCTTCTGCCCACATCTCTACACTTATGGCCATCATGTGCCCCAGCTGACTACTGGCCTGTCTATGAACTACACTGCCCCAGGGCCTTTGCACAAGCAGTTCCCTGTCAGCTGAATGGCTCCTCCCTGTCAGCCAAGTCCTAGGTTAAATGTCCCTCATCTAAGAGTCTTTCCTGATCCCTCAACTGGCAATAGGCAGGCAGGCACCCCGAACATGCTACCCCATTTCACTGTCCTCAGCCATGACCACTTCCTGGTTGTGTGTGTTTGTCAATGTCTCCCTCATCCCCAGAATGCGATTCCTTGGCAGCAGGAGCTGAATCCCTCACTGCTTGGCATACAGTAGGAGCTTAATTAGGATTTGTGGAACAAATGGACTTCTGAGAAAGCCAGCAGAGACCTGGAACAACCAAAGGAAACGGCCTGCAGTAGAAGTGTGCGTGGGGGCAGAGAGGCGGGTACCATACCTGAACCAACAGTTTGAGGCGCGTGATCCTCTGGAAAGGCAGGATGAGGAAGGAGGAGAGGGGCAGCCCCCTACACTTGGGGTCCAGCTCCAGCTGTGCGATCAGCTCCCGAAAGGCTGCCTTCTCCTGGCTGGAGACACGACATGAGAGTAGGTCCCTGGCTCGCAGGAGGCGTGAATCAGAGGGGCTTCCTCCCCATCCACAGCCTCATAGGAACCAGGCAGCCCACGGACACAGAAAATGTGTCCATTTCTTCTTCTTCTTTTTTTTAATGGAAAATAAACTGTTCTGGTACAAGTCAAATAACAATAGTGGCTTCACATGCCTGGCCCATGAAGACTTTGCAAAATACGTTGTGTGTGGGAAGGCAAGAATTCCTCATGCGGCCAACACTATGAATCAGATGCATAATTCGGTGATTTACCCAGCAGGCAATGGTGGCAAGGTAAACCCACGTAGTGACAGGAGCAGGCCCCGGGCTGGGGACGGCTGCAGGGGGAACCGAGAGACTCCTGCCAGGGGGGATATCTCGCCTGCAGATGGCTCGGCAGTGGAACCACTGCTGCAGATCAGACGCGGGCCCTGGGCTCCGCGTCCTCAGGACTCACACTCGGGCCCAGAGAGTCTGCTCTCACCAGCCACACAGGGGGAGACCTACTCTCCTGTGTGATTGTCTTCCCAGGGTTTGTCCTGAAAACTGGCATCCAATTCCCTCAAATTCTAATTTCAAATCCCAGATGTAAAACACCAGAAGCCCCTGAATGCTAGACTTTAAAATGTCCACAAGGAACTACATGGCTTGATGGAATGGCCCAGTGAAGTGTAACGCTCAGATGTCACTCCTCGGGGAGTCCTCTGGTGCCCCGAGTGTGCTAAGAACATATGGCCAGTTAAACTGTTGTTGAAATGAGGCACAGAAGTGTGAAGGATTCAAGAGGCGTGTTAATGAAAAAATTATCTTGTCAACAGAAACCCCAAGAAAGTTTACAAAAGGGGCAGATTAGTAAATTCAAGGTCTTTGCTGGAGGACCACCAAAAAGACTCCTTCCCCTCCTCCCCTGCTTTGTCTCTAGTTCAAACTACTTTCCTCTTGGTGTCAAACTCCCTTTTCTAAACCTCGCAGAGCTGTGCACGGCCATCTGCGCACAGGTCCAGTGGGCGCCAAGGCTGACTATCCCAGGGTCAACATTTTTCTAGTGATACCCAAGCCCCTGGAAGATGCCGGGTTTGGATGCTACCCTGGGAAAGCAGAGGTCCAGGGACCACATCTCAGTGTCAGCATCAGAGGATCAGGGCCGCACTGGGGCATGCGCGATGGCCCCGCTGCCCGGCCACTCACAGCAGCTGCTTGTAGGTCCTCTCCTGGTACGTCTGGTTGCTGACGTAGGTGATGTAGACCGAGAAGTGGTCGGCGGCGTAACGGTACACGATGTCACACACATCCGATATGACAATGTTCTCCTCCATCCGGCGCTCCAGCTCCAAAAGAAACCTGCAGGGGGCAGTGGCTTGGGTCAAAGGTGGCTGGATGGGGAGACTCAGGACACGTATCCAACAAACCGAACCGGCCAACACGAGAGGGTGACTTCCCAGCGAGGGGGCATATTCCATCACATCAAGGAATTACTGGTTCAGTTTTTTGGGTGGATAATAACATTAGGAGTATTTTTAAAAGAGAGAAACCTCATCTTTTAGATACATTCTGATGTGTTTACAGATGCAGTGAAGCGATGATGGGGGTTTGCTTCAGAAGATCCTGTGGGGAGCGGGGCTGGGGGGGACGTGGGTGAGCCTAGGTGCTGAAGCATGGGCTCTTACACTGGTGTATACTTCTGCACGTTGGGGATTTTCCATAATAAAATATAAAAAATATATAAATAAATAGACACCCCTCCCCCCATGGGGGTGAAGCAACAGAGGCAAGGGGTCTCAGAGGCTGCTCTGCTCTCATCTGAGTCTTGCCTTCCTGAGCCCACTGGGCAGTGGGGATGCAAATGGAAAGGTGGGGTGTCAGTGTGGAGAGGGAGTCACACGCAGGTGCGGGGCTGCTGCTGTCACACCTCCGTTTCACATCTGAACAGGTGGGGTTGGACCAGCCATAAAAACTGAGTTCTGCACTTTTAGCTGCAAACATCCACAGCCTACAGTGAAAATGGCAAATGGATCTTTTATGCTAACAGTATGACTGGAGTTCATTTCTTCTTTGCAATAATCAGTCAATAGATGTCATTCCTCCTCCACTGAAGCTCATTTTATCCTTCTTTAGGCAAAATATCAGCACAGTTCCAACCATCATTTCCACAAAGTCTTACAAACACCACCCCACTGTAGAAGAGAAAGTGTAAATCCTCAGAGGGTCTCAGGCCCTGCAGGCACCAAGCCAGGGCCTTCGGTTGTCAGGACAACAAACAGCTGACATGGACACCTCTAGGCCCCGTCGTAACACCTGCCACTGCCACGCCTCCGTGGGCGGGGCACACAGAGCACCTGTGCTGCCAGTGGGGGACCTGCAGGCAGCAGTCCTGTCCATGGGGACATGACTGGCTGCCCTGCTGGGAGGACGGCAGGTCTTTGGGTTTATGTATTTTTATCTGATTACAGAAAATTCCAAATAGACAAGAGAGAGAAGCCAGCGTAATGGGCTCAAGCCACCAGCTCCAGCCGCGCGCAGGCGAGGAGAGGGGACGGGGCAGGGGGGCTCACCGCTCGCTGACGGCCATGACGTCCAGCACATTGGAGAAGAGGATGTGCGCCTCGGACGGGTGCAGGATCTTCTTCAGCCGCTCGTTCTCCACGAAGTGGGACACCAGCAGGTTCAAACTTTTGTAGTAGGAGGCCTCCGAGGTGACCAGCTCAAACATGGCCTGCGGAGGGGACACCGGGCAAAGCGGGCAAGAGGAGGGCCGGCAGTCAGCACCCAGGACTCGCCCCCCCCCCTCTCTCAGATAGATGTAAAAGTGCTAAAGGTGACAGAAGACTGTTGTTGGGGTCTGCGCTGGCGAGGGCGCATGGAGGATGGCGCTGCCATTTGTGGTGGTCACACCCTTACAGAGGCTGCCCCCGCTCACAGCAGTGAGGCCAGAGACAGCCTCATGTCCAAGTACAGGACAAGGTCAAACATGAGAGGCTAGCTGTCCGTTGGGGCCCCGACAGCTGCTCAGGGTGAGTCAGAGCTGTTTCCTGGTGTGGAAGGGGTGGGAGAATCAGCAGTAGAGGGAACCCCACTTCTGCAAGTCCAGAAAAATGTCTGGAGGGAAACAGGCCATGATGTCAACACAGGTGTCGGCAGGGGGTGGAATCTGGGGGTGCCTTTTACTCTTTTCTTAATTTTACCCTTTCAATTGTCTGAAGATTGAGGAATGAGCACATATTATTTCTTTCATGGTCTGATTTTACAATGTAATCGATGGAGAAATTTTCATTTTGAAAGAGAGAAAGAAATCCATAATGTAATAAGCTTTTTGGAGCCACCTTCATTCTGTTCACGCTCACTGCCTGGTTATTGAGCCGATGACACAACAAAACTGCCTGGAGCTCCGTTTCCCCAGTGTCGTGGGTGGTAGATCCAGGCACACCCGTGACCCTTCCTGGAACCACCCTGGGGCCGTCCTCACCTTCCTCTCCCCCACCTCTCTCCGCTGTTTCTCGACCTAGAGCAGGTTCAGGTCCCACCGTGGCTGCCCAGAAGGGACAGTGTACTGAGGTGAATTGTGCCCCCACAAAGCTGTGTCCACGCCCTAATCTCTGGCACCTGGGAATGTGAACCCATTTGGCGAAAGGTCTTTGTGGATGTAAGTTAAGGATGTTGAGGTGAGGAGACCATCCTGGATGGAGGGTCTGAGCCAATGGCAGGTGTCCTTACAGGAGAGAGGCAGAGGGGGATGTGACTTGGAAACACAGGGGAGACGCCACGTGAGGACAGAGGCAGAGGCTGGAGTGCTGCTGCCTCAGGCCAAGGAATGCCTGGAGCCCCTGGAAGCTGGAAGAGGCAGCACTGCCACCACCTTGGTTTCAGGCTCTGGCCTCCACAACCACGGGAGGACAAAGTCCCATCTGTGTGAGCTGCCCAGTTTGTGTTACCCTGTTACATAAGCCTCAGGAAACAAACATAGACAGAGGCAGAGGAGGGACAGGAAACAAGACAGTGATGAGCGCGGGGGGCCCTGGTCCCAGGGTCCCAGACCCCCAGCATTTTACTCCTTTTGGGGCCCTCCATCCTCCGCACTGGCTGGAACCCTGATCCAGGGCTCAAGGGTCTGGCAATGAAAGCTAGAGCTCCAAGGGTCAGGAAGGCTGGGTGGAAGGGAGGGAGGCAGGGGAGGGTGGCGGAGGGAGGGAGGGGCCTGTAGGTGTTCCAAACGTACTAGGCTCTTTCTCATTTCCTCCTCACAGCCCTCCCAGGAAGGATGTACAGAAGTTTCCGTTTTACTAAAAGGAAACAGACGCGGAGGTTCAGTAATGTCTCCAAAGTTACCGCAGAGAATGGAAGAGCAGAGAGTCAATGCTGGGTTCTTCCAGGTTCTGGGCTCTGTCCACCACCACCCACCCCTGTCGAGTTCGGCTCAGGCAGAGGCGATTCAGTGGCCTCTGCAGGCGGCCTGCGGGGCAGCCACTCTGCTGCTTCCACGAGAAGCTGGACAAATGGCCAACCTGGCCAAACACTTTAAAATAAGCAACACATCCATGTGTCAGGGATGCTTAACAGCACAGACCTGCCCAGCACCAGTGAGAAAGCTCACACAGACATCACCGCAGGATGGCCCACCAATCACAGGCCAGGGGGTACCAGCCGCAGCGGCGCCCACCCAGCCCCCTAGTGTCCGTGCCTCACTCAGGACAGTGACAATGAGATGAGGCACTGAAAGAAGCCCATAGCCCTTTTGTAGCTGTCCCCAGGTCACAGATGCTTGGTCTGCTTAAAGATTCAAAACCACATGAAGCCCATCATGCTGGCCTCACTCACGGCAGAGTGGAGGCCCCGTGCTGAAGGCCCCACCCTCTGTTCCGCTGACGTCCACCCAAGCTCTGCCTGGCAAGGCTGCAACTATGCCCAGCAGGAAGTTTCCCGGAAGCATCTCTGTTACAGATGCTGAAAACAAATCACTTTCCTGACACTAAATTTAAATTTCTTAAGAAAGTGTCAAGCTATTACAGCTTGCAAGTTCTCAGCAAAATATAGCTTAAAGAAAGAAAAAAACCCCAAACTGAGACGGATGAGTGTTGCAGATACCAAGGGAGGGAAAAAACCACCATGCTCAGGATGCAGCCCCGCAGATAAAGGTGTGTCTGTCAAACCCTGCTTCCCTGAATGATGTGAGGGACGCCTGGGGTCACACGGGGGAAGCCACGCAGAGCCCTGGACTGACAGCATCACCGTCCTGACCTCTGGGAGGGCGAGGGGTCAGGGGCCGCGGGGCAGAGACAGGCGGGCCTCTCGGTCTCCGACACGCAGCGGGTGTTGGGCCTGAATCACTGCTAATTGGTACTGGCTGGTATCCATTCACCATGAACTCACCCCCTCTCTCCATTTATAGGCGATGAGTCATCTGTGGAGTTTGGTTTTCCAGGGTGTTTGCCTTCATTATATACGTCAAATTATCTGTCACATCAATACGGTTGTCTTTTCCTCATCAATATTATTTTTAGTCTCAGTCATTCAAGCCCCTGCAAGGCATGTGGAGCTGACAGTGATGCAGGCCCTGCCCAGCCATCCACGCATCCGTCCGTCTGTCTGCCACCACCATTCGCGAGCACTGCTCTGGGCCCCGGCATGCTCCGTGAACACAGTGAGCTCCTGCCGCCCCGGGAGCGTCTATCCCAGGGGAGCGAAGACAGAACAGACGGCAGTAAAATGCATCCAATCGGCTGGAAAGAGGTGTGTGCGAGTTACTTACTACAGAGGACCTCTCCTTCATAGAACCAGCTGCTGCTCTGCAGCCGGCCGGGCTGGCCCAGGCCCCTCCTTGCCCGCCGTCAGGCTGCGGGGCTCACATGGGACTGATGTCCTTGGGGAGCTCAGTTAGACTGGCCCGAATTTTATGAATCACAGCTTAGTCTCCCAACAGTGCTGGGGGCTTCATTCTTCGGCTTGGCATCTGCCAGCAATCACCTTAACACTTTCTGGTTTTTTCCACCCCTGCTACTACCAAGCCCAACTCCCGCCTGGGTTCTCTGCAAAGGGAAAGATCTGGTTAACTCTGGACGCTTCTTTCAGGGGCCAGTCCGAGGTGGTTTTGTAGCTGTGCCGGGCCTGGCGTCCACCAACGGGCGGCGGAGCAGCTGAGTGGTCAAGGCTTTGGACTTGGAGTTAGCCAGACCACCGCCACGGGTGAGAAGCACTTCATTCCGCTAAGCCTCAGTTTCCACACGTGCAGAATGAGGACAACAGTCCCCAGAGGAAAGGCCCAGCCTGGAGCTGGCCCAGCTCAAAGCACCAGGCAGACTGACGTCTGGGGTCACTATCCATCCGACATCCGACATCCAGGCGTTGCCTTTACGGGACCTCTAGTGCCTCACGGAGGGGGCTCCAGCCAGAGAGGTCAGGAGGGCCTGCACCAGGAGGTGGCACTGAGTCTGAGTCCCAAAGTACGGCCTGTGCGGAGAAGGGATATGGGCACCTGCTGCGGCTGGGAGGGGGCTGGCAGCCAGGCCACTAGAGGGGCCACATGGGGATACAGCAGAAGTCCACCCCGTGTGGGCCAGAACCACACTTGTGTCCCAGAGTCCCCATGGGCTGCGTGCCTCTCCTGGGCTCCAACGTGCTCTCACCGCCTCCCCAGCTGGCCTGCAGATGAGAAGCCAAGCACGGCTTCCCATAGGCTTGGTTAGAAACTGGATCATATTTTTCTCAGTAAATTTAGATTTTTCTCCAAGGAAAGGAAAGAACATATCAGAGAAATAACTGGAGTTCCAGCCGGGACCATCACCGCAGAGCCTCAGATAAGCTGAGAGGTTCAGCTTTGGTTGGTGAGCACCTCCCCCTCCACGGGGGAGACGAGAGGTTTCTGAGCCTGCAGACCCCAGGCCAGCACCACACCCTGCTGAACGGAAGTCGGCCCACAGACACACAGAGCCCAGGCCCCTCCCCTGATATAGCCCAGGCCTCGGTGCCATTTGCCTTCAGTGACCTCACGTGGCCTTGGGGCCAGAGAGTCAGGCCCACCTGGACCACCCTGGTCGAGCAATGCAATTGAAGAAACAGAGAAGGCCCCTGACCCACTGGAAAGGGGATGAAAGAGGAAGATACTGAGAAAAGTCTGGAGGAAAAAGCAACTTGCTTCTGATCAAGAAAAGTGAAGGAAAGGCCCCTAAACACAAGGAGTGCTGTTTGTTAAGAGCTCAGTTTCCTGATCCGTACTTTCCTGTGCTGTCTTTTTGTCCGACGTGGGTCCTCACTGTCCAGCCAGGCAAGCTCAGTCCATCTGCCTCCATGTCCCACCTGAGGTCCCCATTGGGGTTGGCCCTTCCTCCTCACAGCATGAGCTAAGCTCGAGGCTGCCCGGTCCTCTGCCTTGCTCTCTGCCTGCTCCGTCCCCTTCTTACAGCTCAGGATTCTCCACGGACCCTATCCTGATTTGGATTGTTTTCAGCTTCCCCTGACCTCATGTTAACGATGCCCAGTTGTCTTTGGTGCCATAACCTTTATTACGATGCTGTTGTGTGGCCTAAGTCACCAGGGTGACCTCTGTGGGGGTCGGAGACAAAGGGGAGCTGACTGAGGATGGACGCCACCCCACCACCTCCCTTCTCTGCTGCTGCCGTCTGCTGTGTCACTGCAGGGCCAGGAAGCAAAAGCATCCCTTTACCCTAAGGGTCCTGCGGGGCCCCTTCACCTCCGCCCACATCCCAGGCTCTGCCCAGGTCG